GCACAAGAACCCTGGGCAGTGGGCCACTTCCAGCAGCTTTTTCACACAAGTGGCCTGCATCGGCTCATGCTGAGGACTTTCCAAAACTTTCCCAATGGTCCATAAACCCCAAACCAGGAGCAGCTGGCCTCAGTGTGCCCTATACCTCTTGCTAAGCAGCCCCAAGCCTAGCATAAGCAGAGACCAGTCTCAATTTGCTGTAACTTGGTGGCACCAAGCCTGGCATGAGCTGCAGCCAGTGTTGTCTTAGAATAGTGATGGTGAACCTTTTGAGCTTGGCGTGTCAGCATTTTGAAAAACCCTAACTTAACTCTGGTGCCGTGTCACATATAGAAAATTTTTGATATTTGAAACCATAGTAAAACAAAGATTTATATTTTTGATATTTATTTTATATATTTAAGTGCCATTTAACAAAGAAAAATCAACCAAAAAAATGAGTTCGCATGTCACCTCTGACATGTGTGTCAAAGGTTCGCCATCACTGGTCTAGGGCAAAGGAAATTAAGGAGAAAATAAACAAATGGGACCACATAAAAATAAAAAGCTACTGCACAGCAAAAAAAACCATCAACAAAATGAAAAGGGAGCCCACTGTATGGGAGAACATATTTGGCAATGATACATCTGATAAAGGGTTAACATCCAAAATATATAAGGAACCCGTACAACTTAACAAAAGGAGACAACCCAAAATAAAAAATGGGCAAAGGACCTAAATAGACACTTCTCCAAAGATGGCCAAGAGACATATGAAAAAATGCTCAGTCACTGATCAGAGAGATGCAAATTAAAATGACAAGTATCACCTCACACCTGTTAGAATGACTGCCATCAACAAATCAACAAATGACAAGTGCTGTCAAGGATGTGGAGAAAAGGGAACCCTAGTACATGGCTGGTGGGAACTACAGACTGGTACAGTCATTATGGAAAACAGTATGGAGTTTCCTCAAAAAATTAAATATGGAACTGCCATTTTACCCAGTGATCCCACTTCTAGGAATACATCATAAGGGACTCGAAACACCAATCAGAAAGAATGTATGAACTCCTATGTTCATAGAAGAACAATTTACAATAGCTAAGATCTGCAAACAGCCCAAGTGCCCATCAGTAGAAGGGTTGATAAAAAAGCTGTGGTACATTTACACCATGGAATACTATGCAGTCATAAAAAAGGATCTCTTACCCTTTGAGACAGCATGGAGGAATCTGGAGAGTATTATGCTAAGCGAAATAAGCCAGTCAGAAAAAGACCAGTATACATAATCTCACTTATATGTGTAATCTAATGAACAAAATAAACTGATGAACAAAATAGATTTAGAGACATAGAAGCATTGAACAGACTGTGGAATCTCAGAGGGAAGATAGGGTGGGGATGGGTGAGTAGGAAGAGATCAAACAAAAAACTTGTATGCATATATGCATAATCCATGGACACAGACAATAGGGTGCTGAAGGCCTGGGGTGGGGATGAGGGCAGGATAGAAGGTGTTACTAGGGGAAGAAGGGGGACATATGTAATACTTTCAACAATAAAGATTTAATTAAAAAAATATGGCAGAGGTGATGAAATTTTGCTTCTGAGTTTAGATTACTGGAAAAAAGTAGCTTCTGTCTTGGGCTCAGGGATGGCTCAGTTTCCCTCAACAAGTTGTGAATCGGTCTAAGTAGCAAAGAAATGAGGGAGTCTGTGGCCTACCGCCAGCAACTTAGGTCCTCAATCCAAAAGCTCAAGAAAAACCAAGTGTTGTCAACAACCTCGTGAGAAACCTTCCAAGCAGATCCTCCCCAGAGGAGACAAAGCCTTCAGATCAGAACACAGCCCTAGCCAACATCTTGATCACAGGATGTTAGAGACCTTGAACCAGAGGCACCCAGATAATTGCACACAGATTCCTGTCCTTCAGAAACTGAGAGACAATACATGTTTGTTGCTTTAACAACTCAGTTTTAGGGTAATTTGTTACACAGCCATGGATAACTAATGCACTATGTGCTTATACTTTTTCATTTAAGGAACAATGCTGTTCCTTAAACTCTGTTTTGGGAACCTTATTCCCCAAATGGTCTACTAGGATACCTAATTTTCATGGTTTAGTTATGAAATTTCTAAGAGCTGTATATTATTTTCTTAAATACATCCATGTGCATTTAAAACTATAAGTGACTTTCCAGAAAAATCTGAGTAAAAACTGACACTTCATGAACCTTTTACCTCCTTATGTACTGAGTGGCCTTGCATACCCATAGCCCAAGACAACTTTACTTGGGCAGTTCACTCTCTGCACACTCCTTGAATTAAGAATAGAAACCTACATAAGGAAAGGTAAATCTTTCCTCTGGAGTTTAAACCAAGCTCTCCCTCAAAAGCAGGGGGTGGGGTCGGGGGGGAGGAACATCCTCCCATCTCTCTTTAAACTACGATATAGTAGTTTCCCATGCTGCTGTAACAAAACACCACATACTTAGTGGCTTAAAACAATACAGATTTATTATTATCTTATAGTTCTGAAGGTCCAAAGTCTAAAATGACTTTCACTGGCTAAAATAAAGGGGTGGCAGGCTGGTGTTCCTCCTTGAGGCCCTAAAAGAGAATCTGTCTCCTTGCCCTTCCCAGCTTCTAAAGAACACCTAAGTATCTTGGATCACAGTCCCTTCTTTCATCTTCAAAGCCAGCAGTGTAGCATCTTCTCTCCTCCCAAGTGCATCAATTATCTTTTATATCTGATCAACTCCAGACATTTTGCTAATAATGAAATGGCCTATTTATGAAAATACACTTTCTCATTGGTGAAATCAGTAGAGTGTAAAAAGTGGGTAAAGATTAGCCCAGCTGGTGTGGCTCAGTGGTTGAGTGTTGACCCATGAACCAAGAGGTCACTGGTTCAATTCCTGGTCAGGGTACATAACCAGGTTGCAGGCTCCATCCCCAACAGGGGGGTGTGCAGGAGGCAGCCAATCAAATGATTCTCCCGCATCATTGATGTTCCTATCTCTCTATCCCTCTCCCTTCTTCTCTAAAAATCAATAAAAAAATTTTTTAAGAAAATGTGGGTTAGCTAAAATATTTTTTTTTTATATATTTTATTGATTTTTTACAGAGAGGAAGGGAGAGAGATAGAGAGTTAGAAACATCGATGAGAGAGAGACATCGATCAGCCGCCTCCTGCACATCCCCCACTGGGGATATGCCCGCAACCCAGGCACATGCCCTTGA